CTCAAGTGGCTGACTACTTATGTTATCTACGTCAGACTAAAAATCTAAAAGGCTCAACCTTATCCACTTATCTTGCAGCAATAAGCTCTGTCATAACTATGAGAACGGGTGTCAAGCTAACCAAGACCCCAGAGTTACTCGCCTTACTACGAGCATTCCGATTGGAGGATCAGAAACGCAGATTTCACGCTCCAGCTTGGGATCTAAATATAGTGCTCCAACACCTCACAAGTGAGGCATATGAACCTTTAGAATCTACATCGTTCGAATTTCTGACACAGAAAACTTTGTTCCTGTTATCTCTAGCTACGGCTGCCAGGATGTCAGAGATTCACGCATTGGATTACGAGAGAACACGCTTTGATGATATTCATAACATCGTGCATATGGGACTACGTTGGGATTTTATCTCCAAGAACCAATTACCAGGCCAACCAGACAGGTTATTCCACGTCCCAGCTCTCTCATCTATACTTGGACCTCATGATACGATGGATCTATCACTATGCCCAGTAAGAGCACTGAAAATATATTTCCACCGATCCAAACAGAGGAGACAAAAATTCAAGAGATTATTTATTCCTCTATCAACAGCTACGCAGACTGAAGTCTCACGTGACACTACCATCTCCATTTGGATCAGAACTGTCATACTACGTGCCTACAAGGCTGCAGGACTCGACCCTCCAAGAGCATCTAATCCTCATGAAAAGAGCTGCTAGCATCGACACTTGCTCTTCACAATGCAACTGCTCTTTGAATACCATAATGGAGGGTTGTTTCTGGAGATCCGATATGGTGTTTGCCAACCATTATCTGAGAGATATCACCACCGAGGACGTCTCAGGTATTCACCATTTCGGTCCCATGGTCCTCGCACAACAGTTGACAGTTCATCGGAGAAGATAAGTCAATCTTACAGATTTTACTACTTATCTTATAACAGTACTAAATAGCTATATGCTATATATATTTTGCTTAAGTTCATTTATTATCTTAAGCACAGTACTATGGTTGTTATATCATAACAGTATATTAGCTAACAAACTCTATGGAGTTTTTGCTATTATATATTTAGCTTAAGTTTAATCATATCTTAAGCTCAGTACTATGGTTATATTATAAAAGTATACTAGCTAACAAACTCTACGGAGTTTTTGCTATTATATATTAAGCTTAAGTTTAATCATATCTTAAGCTCAGTACTATGGTTATATCATAAAAGTATATTAGATAACAAACTCTACAGAGTTTTGCTATTATATATGTAGCTTAAGTTTAATCATATCTTAAGCTCAGTACTATGTTTATATCATAAAAGCATATTAGCTAACAAACTCTATGAAGTTTATGCTATATTGTCAAGCTTAAGTCTATTAGTCTTAAGCATAGTATTCATGTTGTATATACTTTTATCATAATATTTATATTGTAATAACCCATATAGGGCAGCTGATAAGTTAGCAGCAGGAATTCATCAATTCAGTGCCTTTATGAAGTTCCCATAAGGGTTATTACAGTCATTACAGTACAAATCACTAATTATCTAAAATCCAAAGTAGTCTGTATTCCCACCTCCGTTTCCGTCGGATTCTACAAGCAAGTAGCATGAGTCAGGATAAGGAAAAATATGTAATTTTCTGAATAAAATTGATATTTTATACTTATCCTGACTCATGAGGTTAGCCCTCCCGTCCTCCCCACATAACACTTTGGATTTCCCTGAAAATTCAAGTGTTGGGCTCGCTATATAAGGAGAGAGTGAGGCACATGGCAGGAGGTGGCGCCCTCGTTCCCACGCTTTTGAGGGGACAGATAACTCGTGGTGAGTACTAATTAGTGATTTTACATTGAAGGGAACTTCAATTGGGAGATACAAGTGTTCCACTGTGTTCGCAAGAAGAAGACAAGCAAGTAGCATGAGTCAGGATAAGTATAAAATATCAATTTTAATCAGAAAATTACATGTTCTCACAATCTACTGTCATTTAATTTTGTCTCCTGCTTTGCCTAGTTTCCGAGTTACAACTTGTTTTCATAGACGATTCTGTCAAAATCAATTGGTGTCGTTAGGCCCTATTTGTATAATGACTGATCTAAATTTATCCCATTTCTGTGTTTTTTTACCTCGATATTTAATCATGTCATGTAAAAATCTGTTTGTATTCTCAAAACAGTGTCGGCCCATAAGTTTTCACATGCAATACAGCAATTAATACTCCCTTGTTGTAACCCGTGTTAGGTGGTATAAACCTACACATGTTATTTATCATCATTCACTTGATGGTCAGTTAATGAATTTATAACAGGTATAATTAGTGGTAACACACTTAGATTACCCGACAAAGGTTCCCATTTGGCATTTCTTGTGTCTGGAGTAAATATTCAACATTATAAACATCGATCAAAGGATTAACCGATAACACGCTGATTGATTAATTACTTTTATCTTACGCAGCGGAATTGTCAAAAGGTAGTGTTTATGTATGTAGATTTACTAATCTATACTGAATACACTCTGTCCTGTCGGTGTCTCAAGTAAAACAACGCCCTTCTTTCAAAGGATTAACCGGCAATACATTGATTGATTGCCCATTATTGGCTAACTAAATTACTGTTTTTAAAGAAAGGCGGACATTATGCAATTAGTTGCCAGGTGTGCTATCTTGGGTGACCAATGAGACTATACACCAATACCTGAAAAGATTTATCAATTTTTCGTATATTAAACTGTTAAAAGACACATCATTTGGGACAGTTTTGTGGATATTGATGGATACATTCCTCGAACAAGGTAATGGCCTGACATTGTTCCTATAACTTTAACCTGTTTTAATTTTAATATTTGCATTTTGTTTTTATTCATTTGTCGTAGCATTCAACAGAATCATTGTTTTCGCCGTGAAGTGTAATGAGACAGACAACATACACTAGGGTGTGTGTGCGAATTATGATTCACATTAGCAAACTATAAAATGTCTAGATATTACAGTTCTGTTATAAATTCACTATAAGTATCAGCAGATCGTCTGCTTTTTATTTAGTTTCAAAATGCATACAAGTATGATAATAAACTAATTAGGATTATAAGACCAATATAAAGACGTACATTGACTAGTATCTACATACTGGTGAGTGAATATTAACCATGTGAATGTAGCAAGAAATTTATCGCTCAGTATTGTGACTTCGACCCCCACCTCGCTTCCGTGGAAGAAATCGTTATGTTATAAGTTGTGTCATGCAAAATCCGTTTGGTTATGATTCCAATACACATTTAACTCATGGTAGAAAGTAGTTTTGATTTTCTAACTTGATGAAAACAAACTATAATCTCATTAATTCTAACAGACTTTACGATTTTCAAAATGATGCCTTCTGTCGGGAACATCCGCCAGTGTGAGGATAAATGTTATTTAGGTTTGTTTTCACCGAAGTTACAAAATCAAAACTACTTTCTACTGGTAGTAAAATATGTATTTTATTGATGACCAATAGGATTTTGCATGACATAGCGTATAACATTACAATTTCTCTCCTGGCAGCGAGGTGGGTGTCAATATAATACTACTTACAATATTATTGTTACTTCGACCACAAGCTCACTTCGAGGAAGAAATGATTATGTTACAAGTTGTGTCATGGAAAATCTTTATGGTCATCAATCATATACATATTTTACTACAACTAGTAAGTAGTTTTGATTCTTTAACTTTCGTGGAAGCGATCTGAACACAAGTAAGATATCGCTTTCAGGCTTCCACAACGCCGCCGCACTCACAAACATAACCCATTTAGCACTTAACCGCGGGTCCTGTGGAAATCTGTGCATGGTGACACCATCGCCCGACCCCTAGGAGCAATTGATCGACAAAGCAACGATTCAGCATGTCGTCGTTGATGTCGAGAAATCATCAAAATGATGAGCGTGCTACACACTTTCTATACAACTAACTGAAAATCGTTCCTCATATGACGTCACTGCAGTGCTCTGGCGACAGAGTTACGTAACCTGTCTGTGGTTTCGTTGGCGGGCGAGAGGGAAGCAGGCGACTTTTTGGCCACTTTTAATCGCTCGGTATTAATTAACCACAAGTTTTTAAAGAAGTTTCCGCATAAGACTAACGACAAATCTTTCATATGTAATGGTTAAAAGAGTAACAAAAAACAAAGTTTATTGGTTCTTTAAGCGTGTAGGTGAGTTATGTCCCTTTTCTGTCAGTGAAATGTGTAGGTGAGTTATGTCCCTTTTATATCAGTTAAGCGTGTAAATGAGTTATGTCCCTTTTCTGTCAGTGAAATGTGTAGGTGAGTTATGTCCCTTTTCTGTCAGTGTATGTATGTATATAAGGTTTTAGGGCGACCTTGGGCCTTATCAGTGAAATGTGTAGGTGAGTTATGTCCCTTTTCTGTCATATTGATGCCATATCTGTGGCCAAGGTCCTCCTCACCAAATTCAAGTAGCGTTTTGTTGGTTGTTGAATCTTTGTACATGACTTCCTTGGAGTAGGATGAGATCAGGAATTATCAGTAAGTCTTATTTACTGAATGGGTGTATTATTTGCGTACTTATATGTGAAAGGTGATGACAGGATTATGATTTTCAGTGGTAGTTCCATGTGACCTAACTTCAGTGAGTAGCATTTACTATTGGGATGTTCTTGAAATAATGTTGATTGTGATTCCTTGCTTACTCAAACCTGAAACTATCATTTGTGCTGCCCATATTTCACCAGGGGTAGTTACCTGTTTTGTGGTTTGGGTAACATGGTATGTGTCCACTATGATTTAACCATATTTTAATTTTTTATGGCTTCTAAAGCATTTAACTGTGTATTTTGCTTTATACAGTTGTCATAGCAAAGATTACTTGTTTTTGTGCTTGTGTGTTTCTCTATTTTGGATGGTTTTTTTTATCAGCATAGATCCCAAGGGCTGTATACCGCACTGGGGAAAAGTACCTCTGCTGTGTTCTGAGATTAGTGATGTATTGTTTCCAGACTGTGTTGCTCCAGTTGACGGCTCCCTGTATGTGGGTCCAAATGGAGACTCTCCCTGTGAGGGAGACCCATACATCATCTGCCATGCTATACAACAGCCAGCCTTCACCGTGGGACATCTGCTCATCGCTCCACTGGGGGAGAAGCCAACACAGGCCCTGGAAGACAACACACTGGTAAACACTCCATTGGTAACTCATCTAGGTCTTTGACAGGTCAGGTAAACAGGCTGTAGATAGGACTCTACCTCAACTAGGTCCTTGACAGGTCAGGTAAACAGGCTGTAGATAGGACTCTACCTCAACTAGGTCCTTGGCAGGTCAGGTAAACAGGCTGTAGAAAGGACTCTACCTCAACTAGGTCCTTGACAGGTCAGGTAAACAGGCTGTAGATAGGACTCTACCTCAACTAGGTCCTTGACAGGTCAGGTAAACAGGCTGTAGATAGGACTCTACCTCATCTAGTTCCTTGACAGGTCAGGTAAACAGGCTGTAGATAGGACTCTACCTCAACTAGGTCCTTGACAGGTCAGGTAAACAGGCTGTAGATAGGACTCTACCTCATCTAGGTCCTTGACAGGTCAGGTAAACATGCTGTAGATAGGACTCTACCTCATCTAGGTCCTTGACAGGTCAGGTAAACAGGCTGTAGATAGGACTCTACCTCAACTAGGTCCTTGACAGGTCGGGTAAACAGGCTGTAGATAGGACTCTACCCCATCTAGGTCCTTGACAGGTCAGGTAAACAGGCTGTAGATAGGACTCTACCTCAACTAGGTCCTTGACAGGTCAGGTAAACAGGCTGTAGATAGGACTCTACCCCATCTAGGTCCTTGACAGGTCAGGTAAACAGGCTGTAGATAGGACTCTACCTCAACTAGGTCCTTGAAAGGTCAGGTAAACAGGCTGTAGATAGGACTCTACCTCAACTAGGTCCTTGAAAGGTCATGTAGACACGTCTTCTGAGAAGCCTGGGAAGTGGTGAATATGGGATTCCACACCATATTCATATCAGCAGTTAAACCAGTGTCACAAATATGTTCGTGTTGTAGGATGCATTTTTCAGAGACTCATTGAAAGAAAATATGGCATTTTAATGTTTGTCTTTTTTTGTACTTTCCATTTAATCTTGTTTGAGGAATTGATTAATTGTGTAAGATAAGGCATATCAAAATAGGAACTGTTCTCTGTTGCTTCAGATCTTCACTATAGTGCATGGGAAGCTGTCTGTGACCATCCACAGGGGCAGTACTGTGCTGGAGGCTGGCGACCAGTTCTTTGTCCCACGAGGTGAGATCTATCATCTTCATCTTGTCGCTTGTCTCCATGCAAAGCTTTACACATCAAGCAGAAATCTCACGCCATGCTTGTCTTAGGAATGTTATCATGTAATGGCCTGCCTCCATTGTCTAGTTGATAGAGTGAATACCTGGAAAGTGAAAGATCAGTGATCCCATCACACCGAAAAGGTGTTACAAGATAGTACAGGTTGTTACTGTGTTTGGTGCTTGACTTTATACAACAACGACTTGTCGGCTTCATGTCAGAATACTGTGTCCATGGGGGCAGCATGGTGTCACTGTTGGCTTTCACTATAAAACCTGTAGTAGTCCAGACTAACAGAAGCACACATGCATGCGCGCACATAAGTACTGTTAAGTCTCCTCTCCTCTCCTTGCCTTGCCGCCACCGCACCGCACCGCACCGCATCGCACCGCACCGCACCGTATTTAATCATCATGTGTCAATGTTTAGGGTCCCCAGAACTCTTTAACATGAGGGACGTCACAAGAATCACTTCTATGCTTAATTTTGAACATATTCTGAAAGTGTTTTTACTCAATCTAGGACAAAGTGGAATTTACATGAAATCCAGTAAATTGTAGCAGATTGCCATTGTTAGTTAGTTTATTCATGGTCTTTCAGTAACCGTTTCAAGTAATGTCAACATTTCATTCCAGGAAATACCTACAGCCTGAAGAATCTGCTCAATGAGGAAGCTAAATTATCCTTCGTGAACTTGATGGAGAGCATCTCCTCTTAAACAGATGTGTTTTTTTGAGGACTGGATAATCCCTGTACATAGCATGTATATCTGTGTATAGCTGTATATCTATCACCTTGTGTACTACTGTATAAAGTAGGTTGTGTACAGTATCAGAATCAGTACAGACATCCTGCTGGACATGTATCTGTATGTTGGACCAGCTTTCTAAAAAACTGACATTTGAAATGGGTGCACTTGGAAGAAGTAGGATTTCAGAATACTGCATTAGTAGATGTTCAACGTGTCTATTAACTGGTGTTGAAGAAAGTCCCTGGTCCTTTATCATTTAGTTGTAAAGGTACAGTAATGACAAACCAATCTGTATTACTGAGCTCAACTACACATAGATATTGTCTGACATTTGAGCCTTTTACTCTTGACATGTGTATTGTAGGGTACATTAAAAATATATACTTCAGATAAATCAAAAGTTTGTGTGAGTTTGAAATGAGTCTATTAAACCTTCTAAACTTTCATATCAGACATGATATTTCTATGTAGTCAATGTGTCCCAATCAATCCCTCAGTCAATAATCCAACATTGTTTACATGGTTTGGGGAGGCATTGGTTCGTTCACTTACATGCAACATGCATTAAAACTGGTGTGTTTTCATGTAAAATAGAGTGAGCAGCAAATACTTACCTGCAGTATATGACGTGAGAGTGATGTTCACGTCCTCTTGTCTACGGTAAACATAGTATTGTAGGAGATGCTGGACATTTGGTCCTTGGTCAGCTGGCATCCTCATGTTATATGCCATTACAGTGACAGCCTCAGAACAAACGATGTCACTGTACAAAGTTTCACAAATCTGTTGATTAGTTTTACTACTTGAAAAAGGTTTCTTACTTCCAACAATGGCAAAGAGCAGTCATTGTAAATGTTTCTTTTTGTATTGAGAAGAATATACAGGAAGGTAAGATAGCCTAATGTAATCCCCTCTGTGATCCACACACCTCTTCCAAAGATGCTGGAGTGCCTGGATCCCACTGGTCTAGAAGGCTTCCTTCCTGGTGGTGTAAACTATCACAAATTGTATTTTACATGCAAGAACTGAAAGGTATTATTTGTGGCAAGATTGACAGTTCCTTAGTTATGATGTCATCTTCTCTTGTATTGTCAGCACTGACAAGAGCGTAGTGATTCTTCACCAGTGTGTGAGTGGTGTCATATGGTTCCAAGTGATGACTGTGTGTGAGTGGTGTCAGATGGATCCAAGTGATGACTGTGTGAGTGGTGTCAGATGGATCCAAGTGATGACTGTGTGAGTGGTGTCATATGGTTCCAAGTGATGACTGTGTGAGTGGTGTCATATGGTTCCAAGTGATGACTGTGTGTGAGTGGTGTCAGATTGATCCAAGTGATGACTGTGTGTGAGTGGTGTCAGATGGATCCAAGTGATGACTGTGTGAGTGGTGTCAGATGGATCCAAGTGATGACTGTGTGTGAGTGGTGTCAGATGGATCCAAGTGATGACTGTGTGAGTGGTGTCAGATGGATCCAAGTGATGACTGTGTGAGTGGTGTCAGATGGATCCAAGTGATGACTGGGTGAGTGGTGTCAGATGGATCCAAGTGATGACTGTGTGTGAGTGGTGTCAGATGGATCCAAGTGTTGACTGTCTCCAGCCACCAGTTTCCATCCATTATCAACCAACACTGACAGACTGTGTGTGAGTGGTGTCAGATGGATCCAGGTGTTGATTGTCTCCAGCCATCCATTATCAACCACACTGACAGACTGTGTGTGAGTGGTGTCAGATGGATCCAGGTGTTGATTGTCTCCAGCCATCCATTATCAACCAACACTGATAGACTGTGTCTGAGTGGTGTCAGATGGATCCAGGTGTTGATTGTCTCCAGCCATCCATTATCAACCAACACTGACAGACTGTGTGTGAGTGGTGTCAGATGGATCCAGGTGTTGATTGTCTCCAGCCATCCATTATCAACCAACACTGACAGACTGTGTGTGAGTGGTGTCAGATGGATCCAGGTGTTGATTGTCTCCAGCCATCCATTATCAACCACACTGATAGACTGTGTGTGAGTGGTGTCAGATGGATCCAGGTGTTGATTGTCTCCAGCCATCCATTATCAACCAACACTGACAGACTGTGTGTGAGTGGTGTCAGATGGATCCAGGTGTTGATTGTCTCCAGCCATCCATTATCAACCACACTGATAGACTGTGTGTGAGTAGTGTCAGATGGATCCAGGTGTTGATTGTCTCCAGCCATCCATTATCAACCAACACTGACAGACTGTGTGTGAGTGGTGTCAGATGGATCCAGGTGTTGATTGTCTCCAGCCATCCATTATCAACCACACTGATAGACTGTGTGTGAGTGGTGTCAGATGGATCCAGGTGTTGATTGTCTCCGGCCATCCATTATCAACCAACACTGACAGACTGTGTGTGAGTGGTGTCAGATGGATCCAGGTGTTGATTGTCTCCAGCCATCCATTATCAACCAACACTGATAGACTGTGTGTGAGTGGTGTCAGATGGATCCAGGTGTTGATTGTCTCCAGCCATCCATTATCAACCAACACTGATAGACTGTGTGTGAGTGGTGTCAGATGGATCCAGGTGTTGATTGTCTCCAGCCATCCATTATCAACCAACACTGACAGACTGTGTGTGAGTGGTGTCAGATGGTCTCCAGGTGTCAGTTGTCAAAGTCCTCAGGATAAAATGACAAGGTACAATTTAGTTTAATGCCAAATGTAAATGTGGATTTAACTACAATGTTATTATGCAGAAAGCAATTGGATTATATATTTTTTTGTGCTGCTTTTCATCCTATGTCACTAAATATATCATGAAGATATATTTAAGTTATGTGATATGTTGATATACAAATTAAACATTTTAGGAAATGTTTTGTTTTTTTCTCATTGAACATACAGCCATCTTCTGTCCTTAAAAGCAAATATACAGAATGTAATACAAGTGCATATTTTACCCTTTGTATTGAACGAGAAGATATCATGGTGGGAAAGAAATGAGTTTGAAGAACGAGTTCAATACACAATGTCCAAATATACTAGTATGATGTTCTATATTTCTTACATACCTTTTTTCATGATACAGACTTTTAACCTAACACCTAACCATCCTTGATAATCTCCGGGTATACGTTACGATCACTCTCCACTATACCCTGGATGCATCCACGGCTTGGCCCGATGATTTTTTTACCTCCCTTTGCTGGCTCCGCATTCTCACAGTAGCCAATCAGCTAAGCAGCCGTTACCAACCGAGCTTGCCAGTGTCAACAAAGATAGCGGTCGCAGTCGCGAAGGTTTATTCGCAGTGCCACTCAGATGTTTTAGGAAATAATACACACAAATTGACAGATCTGAAACTTTCAAAAAATATATAAAAGAACTCCTTCTACCTCTTTCAGAATACCTCTGCATCAATTGTGTTGCCAAGTTTAAATGTTTGATAATTTAAGAAACAAAAGTGAGTTATGATTGGTTACCTCAACTTCCCAGCGTAGACACTTGATTAGATAAAAAGCCAGCCAAGGGAGGTAATAAAATCATCGGGCCAAGCCGTGGATGCATTCAGGGTATAGTGAAGAGTGATCGTAACGTATACCCCTGAGATTAACGAGGATGACACTTAACGTGACTTTTGAAACTTCCACATTGAGGTTACTGTGAGATCACATTCCTCCACCTTGTATCATCAATCAGTTGCCAGGTTCTGATGACAAAGGAAACAAAACAGAATAATATCTGACACAAAACAAGGTCTATTGTTTCAAAGATTTCATTTGGCACTTTCAAATGTTTCTGAAAATTAGTGAATATCAAGGACTAGATCAAGATCCAGCAGCCATGCAATTCAGAATTAGTTTAAGCTTCGTATATTACATGACTGTATTGTTGTCGTGACATTTACATGGGTATGTGAGAAAATATGGTATATTACATGACTGTATTGTTGTTGTGACATTTACATGGGTATGGGAGAAAATATAGTATATTACATGACTGTATTGTTGTCGTGAGATTTACATGGGTATGTGAGAAAATATAGTATATTACGTGACTGTATTGTTGTTGTGAGATTTACATGGGTATGTGAGAAAATATAGTATATTACATGACTGTATTGTTGTCGTGAGATTTACATGGGTATGTGAGAAAATATAGTATATTACGTGACTGTATTGTTGTGAGATTTACATGGGTATGTGAGAAAATATAGTATATTGCGTGACTGTATTGTTGTTGTGAGATTTACATGGGTATGTGAGAAAATATAGTATATTACATGACTGTATTGTCGTGAGATTTACATGGGTATGTGAGAAAATATAGTATATTGCTTGACTATTGTTGTCGTGAGATTTACATGGGTATGTGAGAAAATATAGTATATTACATGACTGTATTGTTGTCGTGAGATTTACATGGGTATGTGAGAAAATATAGTATATTACGTGACTGTATTGTCGTGAGATTTACATGGGTATGTGAGAAAATATAGTATATTGCGTGACTGTATTGTTGTCGTGAGATTTACATGGGTATGTGAGAAAAGATAGTATATTACATGACTGTATTGTTGTTGTGAGATTTACATGGGTATGTGAGAAAATATAGTATATTACATGACTGTATTGTTGTTGTGAGATTTACATGGGTATGTGAGAAAATATAGTATATTACATGACTGTATTTTCGTGAGATTTACATGGGTATGTGAGAAAATATAGTATTTTACATGACTGTATTTTCGTGAGATTTACATGGGTATGTGAGAAAATATAGTATATTGCGTGACTGTATTGTCGTGAGATTTACATGGGTATGTGAGAAAATATAGTATATTGCTTGACTATTGTTGTCGTGAGATTTACATGGGTATGTGAGAAAATATAGTATATTGCGTGACTGTATTGTTGTCGTGAGATTTACATGGGTATGTGAGAAAAGATAGTATATTACATGACTGTATTGTTGTTGTGAGATTTACATGGGTATGTGAGAAAATATAGTATATTACATGACTGTATTGTCGTGAGATTTACATGGGTATGTGAGAAAATATAGTATATTGCGTGACTGTATTGTCGTGAGATTTACATGGGTATGTGAGAAAATATAGTATATTACATGACTGTATTGTTGTCGTGGAGATTTACATGGGTATGTGAGAAAATATAGTATATTATGCGGACTGTATTGTCGGAGATTTACATGGGTATGTGAGAAAATATAGTATTTTATGGACTGTATTGTCGTGAGATTTACATGGGTATGTGAGAAAATATAGTATATTACGTGACTGTATTGTCGTGAGATTTACATGGGTATGTGAGAAAATATAGTATATTGCGTGACTGTATTGTCGTGAGATTTACATGGGTATGTGAGAAAATATAGTATATTACGTGACTGTATTGTCGTGAGATTTACATGGGTATGTGAGAAATTATGGTATATAAGTGAAACAGTACTGGTAACTGTTGTTAGGCACCACACATCATAAATAACATGGAATCCACGACGTTAACCAGAGGTTTCATATTTTCAAAACTATACACATGACCACACTGATTATGAATTTTGTGATATAAATGTAACTGTTAGTTTCACAGCACTCTTTATCTGTGTGCGCACCCAACAGCTGTGTGAGGTGCATGACGTCGCCCTGGAATGTATTGTGAATCATTGATCCTTGACAGTTCCAAACTTAGTCTTATTAAACCTCATTGAGCGATAGCCATGATTTTGTCATACGGTGGGTTGTGTGGACTCTTGGCTTGAAGCTGTACAGAATACAAGATACATCTAAGAGGGTACTTCATTTATTAGTGGTACTGGTAACTGTTCTCTTCAAGAATAAAATATTTCAACAAAGAATCGGCAATGAGTAGTGCTGTACATGACATTCAAGGCACAATGATGGCACGTATGCTGACAGTGCACCACCCAGGATGAAGCAGGCTCTGTACAAGCAATAGCAGCAGCTGATTGTATTTCAACATGAATATGTACAGACACTTTCCACTTGATAACAGACAACAGGCAGAAACCAAGTGTGAACACATTGTTGTGTATGAATCCTACATCGTGGAAACCCCCAAATATATCTTCACTTCACCCCCTCCTAGGAGCAACCTTAAAACACCACAAATAGATTGAACTATACTACCCATCAAAAGTTTAGACTCACTAAAAGCATTCACTATATGTTATGTATATGTAGGTGTTTACATCGAAGATGAATTTCTTCACTAACTTGGGGAACCAACTGTAAACCTTATGCAGATGAATTGTGTGAGGATCATGCATCAAATTGCTGAAAAGCATGTGAAAATATCGTGCATGTGAACAGCTGCGTTTTGGTGTAAAGTTTTGTGAAGAATTCGCCAATTTTCACTGAGTTTCAGCATTTATTGAACTCATGACAATAATATTTTCAACGTTACTTATTTGTTTTATAATACATCAGTTCATGTGTAAACAGTACCTTTAAACAGTATGGAATATTTTGCAAAATCTAGTTTAGAACAGTTGACTGAAGTAAGTGGCTACATTTGCACTAGTAAGTCTGAACTTTTGATGGGTAGTATATTTCTAGTCTTTGAATGGCATTTAGAAGTGATTCACATAAATGGTGAAAGCTGAATGATGTCAACGTCTGTAATATGAGGGACACAATGTCTCAGAGTATATTCTTACTCTTTTATCAGGTGTGTGTGTATATATATACTCTGAAAACATTGTATGCCTTATACTACAGAATTTGACATTCATAAATTATCATCCTTTGAACTATTGTACTCCAAAAGATAGTAATTGTTTCAAAACACAAATTTGATCCTATAAGGTGCTATTATCTCACTTTATAACCTGTAAGTTTCTGCAGAGACCATATGGTCTCTGGTTTCTGTGAGTAACTGTGGGCTGTCATCAGCATAATTAACCAATGAAGATCGGGTTAGAACTGGTCTTCATTACCCATAGTTGCTGTAGGATATGAATAACAGTTGTCAGACTGCCGACTCGTTAACATGTCATTATATCCTATTTATGGTGATCATCGTCCATAATATTGCTATGTGCAGTCTTAATAATTAATTTGGTTTATGAAAGATTCCATCACCTACTAAAGTTACCTCCCCTTGTGTTAGTTTCATGGTCAGATCCTGTTATTGAGATCACATGTAAGTGAGTTTCCAATGTTACCATGTGTGACCTTGTTGAGTATGTGTCACCCACTTGGGTCATTGCTCAGCTATCAACCACTTGTGGTGCAGCAGTACTTGTTTTTGGAACGCGATGATACAGCTAGAATGTTGCTGACTGCAGCATTAGACAACAGCTATAGTATTAGATGAGAAGATATGCTGTGAGATAGGTTGAATGTATGGTGCTGCAGTATAACTCAGTTCCTCCAAATATACACAACTGAGATAGTCTCTATACTGGGTCTCAAGTCGGAATTACATCCACCCCTTGGTTTCCTTCTATATCTCCATTTGTTGTTAAAGTTTATATGCTGAGCGCATCATGAGATCAAAGTAGGCTTCGCTGTCGATTGATGCACTCACTCCACTATAATAATTCTCAAATTCTTCTTTCAGTATCTGAAACAAAAACCAAAAAAAGTTTATCGGATATCACAGACCCAACTATGCTGGGACAGGTCTGTCTTTGGAACACAGATATTAACTATTTAGTCCCAAAAGAATGAAAAGACTGACTGGTTATGAAGATGGGCAGACTTGAAAAATGTTACTGGGAGAGCTTCACCATGAAGGAATTGTCTGATTTTTATCAGTGCATGTTAACATACAGCCACACATTGTGTCAAACCAACGGCTGTCTCAAAGTAAGTTTTGCCCCTGCCAATTTCTTATTAATCATCCTTTTGTATGTGTATCAAACCATGAATAACGCCAAGTAATATCGTATGTTCCTTCAGCTTTGACTGTATTGTATCAAAACATATCCTTCTGAATCATTCATTACAAAAACTCTTAAAATGTGATCAAGTTGTTGCACGTCTTTCATTAA